TCCCCGCTTATGCAAATGAAGCCCGGGAAATTCAAATCCCGGGCTTCATTTGCAAGTGCGGTATGCCTACATTACCCCACTAGTTCAAACTCCACGTGCAGCTCCTGAAGGCACTCATAGAGTAAGGTACCCAAAGCGGGTCGTGGCAGTGGAGCGGGGCAGACAGTGGGAGTAATGAGTGCTGCCAGCGTGCTGTGGTGACAATTCTCTGCTCTTTTCCCTTTCTAGTGGTACATGAATGGGAATAAATATTTCTTAGATCCGTGGAACATCATGGATACGCTTGGAATCTTTTACTTCATAGCCGGGATCATATTCAGGTGAGCAGAATTCAGTCTCAAGGCACGTCACCATGGTTCCCCTCAGTGCCAGCTACTGGTACGGTGTGTGTCTGGCTGAGACAAGATGAACAACGTCACTTGCGCTCACGACCAAACGTCCTGTGTTCCCTACAGTCATGGATTTTGCTTCCTAGGCACAAAGGCTGGTTCTGCAGAACATCTCGTGGGCTGAGGAGAACTTGTTCTAGGCACTTTCCTCCTGCTCAGATAATGATTAACGAGCCCACAGAAGTTTGGTTTGGGTGCTGCTCCAGTCAGAGTTCCACAACCCCATGTTGTCTGGACTCAGAGGATGCTTTCCTGGATTTCAGGAAGGCCCGCAGCACAGTGCGATCCAGTTACAGGGAATACCGGGTATGGTCTGGCAGACTTACACAGAGCTGGCTGGGCACCATGAGCCCTCAGGCATGCTCAGTGGAGATACCTCGGGTGTCCTGACTTCAGGAGAACTAATGGGTGGCAGAAGCAGCTGCTACTAATGAGTTACAGCCTTTCAAGAGGCCGGTTTGATCAAGAGGGCAGCTTTGGTGGGGGGGACGAGAGACAGAACCAGAATTTTCCCTCCAACTCTCTACCTTCAAACTGCCTGTTGGAGTAAAATGGAACCTGGCTCTGAACCAGCGTCTTGGTGTTCACACAAGCCCAACCCTGCCACCCTCCTCTCCACAATGTTAGGGGACTCTGAGGAAAGGCGCCGTTGGTTGGAACCATCTCTGTTTTAGTCAGTTTTTGCAAGGCCTGAGCAGATGTATCTAGTTCCATCTGGTACTGCTCCTTCATCCTGGCTGGCCTTGTTCAAAGAGCCAGAAACCCAATTAACGTCTGAGAGGAACTGGATGGCTCTGATAACAGGCCATGGGGTGCGACGCTTTATGGATTGCCTGTGTGAACATGGCCCAACCCA